TCCCCTCCCAGCTTCTTGTGCACCTCCAGCCTCCTCGCTGGCAGGGCAGCAGGAGAAGCTGAAAAGTCCTTGACTAGTGTAAGCACTGCTTGGCAACAACTAAAACATCGGTGTGTTATGAACATTATTCTCATCCTAAATCCAAAACACAGCACTACACCAGCTACTAGGAAGAAAGTTAACTCTATCCCAGCCAAAACCAGGACAATGTATGTCATCATCTTGTCACCTGCAATTGAGGGGACTATCAAAGTGCCCATCCTAGCACTAGGAAATCCAGAGTTAAGCAAGCCAAGCAGATTTTTACAGGTCTTGATGCCTTTGACACAGGACACCTTTCTAAAAGCAGCTTAATCCCTCAGTTCTCAGTCTAATTCAATAGCAGTTAGCCCAGGCAGAGTTAAAGACTTTCCACCAGGGGGTGTGAAGGTCTTCTGAAGGCTCTGACACTGTTTAGAGCAGTGACCTACCATGGTCACTAGTCCTAGCAGCACTGATGCACAGCCAGAGAGTACTGGCCATTCTGTTAATTGCAGATATCTTTAGATACGAAACATAGGAGACACAGAGCTTGTCTGCTCTAGAAAAGACCAGCACCTCTACTGTAGATTTAGTTTTGTTCCACATATAGACTGAGCCACCATCCTTTTAACAGTAAAAGGAGCTGAAATTGAATTAGAAGACACTCCCAAGCTTGGGAGAAAACCACAAGGTATTGCATTTAAACCCTTAAAGTAACATGCAGCCTTCTGTGTAGGTAAAAATCCAAGAGAATTGGAACCCCTGGAAGTTGATCAGTTATGGATATGAAAACCTAAACCAGTTTGGTTTGAAAAAAGTTACATCCAGTTTGGTCAATCAAGACAGGCTTCTTCCTTTAAGAGAAAAAGCTCCCCATCCTCCCTAGCACAGCTTGTGTCAGCCTTATGGCCTCCATATCTGTCAGAACATTTCTACTCTAAATGGAAGTTACCTAGTTGAACACGTGTAATGCATAGTCAACTCCAGTGGCTCAGCATCAGTACTTCCAAGCACTTTTGTGCATCTTCTCCAAATGTATCTATTACTGCTTATTTCACCATAGGACAGATTCACTTGTCACTACTCACTTGTCATTGAGAGTGTCCTTTAATGAGGAAGCTGAGCTCTCCTATTCAGCATTGATAGATGATCTCAAATGCAGTCATAAAACCTATCAATCTTGCCAGGTTCTAGTAAATGGGCAGCAGTCTCAAGCACTAGTTCACAAAGAAGACAGTCTGGAATAACTAATTTCTTGCCCCCATCAGACTGAAGTTGCTGGCCTTGAACTTCAAGAGAAAGATATACAGGAGAAGATGACAAGGCAGCAGCATATTCCTCCTCTCTTTCAGGAAGGCTTGCAAATTGGTGGCTGAATTGCAAGACTAGATCTGATCTCTCAGATTCAGCTCTTGGTTTCATATGAATACCTCACTCTGCATTGGCTTTTCCTCAGTATTCTTCTCTAAGGTGAACCTTACATGAAATTTTTTGAAGTAGCAGCTGCTCTGTGTATCCCAAAGTCAGGTTCAGGCAGACAACTGTGTTGCAACATAGCTACCCCTGTGAATGCCATTGTAGGTAGTATTGGTGGGCTGAGCAAGCTGGCCCAAGAAAGCTGACTCAAATAAGCTGCACTGCTGTGATTTAGTCCCTCGACTCCCCTCCCATCTAGAGGGACAAAGCTTTTCAACAACATCCTGGATATCAAGAACTGGCACTGGTGCATCAACATCTTTTTTGGATATAGTGATATCAGCTATCTGAGGGACTCTTCTCTATTTCTAGGAGCAAAGATCAGCTTTGAGAATGCAGTAATGTGACTGTACTATGCAAATTAACTTCAGGACTAATTTCACTGGTACCCAGAGTACTTGGTAGAAGTCTTAAAGCTTCTACATGGTTCAAAACTTTAATTAGTAATATTTGCTTGATGAGTTGGTCATGCCATTAAAATAAATTGATGAGGTTGAATAGCTAGGAGTTCTGCCTGAAGAATCTTATTCCAGCTGTACTCAAGTCTGCCACTACATCAATATCTACATTAACAGCCTGCTTTTATGTTTCAAAGGAGGAAAAATTGACCAAGAAGTTTTACATTTCCACAAGATCAATGTATTACTTGCTGTAGGACTGAACAAGTGATACTAGTAAACTGGCCACTCCATTTCTGTCAGCTATATTGAGTTTTTCAGGGATTCCAGTTAAGATGACTGTTGCACTGTCAGCTGCTTCAGAACATAGACAGCCCTCTTCCCCCACATATTGCTAGACTCAGCATACAAAACTTTCAGTAAGTGCACTTCTTCCACATTTAATGTGGAGTCCCAAGCCTGCATGGATAAAAGTTGTACTTTACAGTCTTGACTGCCTTGATTGTATAGCTTTAAAAGAACAAAAACACATTCCATCTTACTATAAGCACATCTGCCTTCATGTAGAGTAAATGCAAAATTAGATGCCTTGGAAATCCATTCCACTTGCCTTTGAACAGAGGAAAAAGCATTCTGAAGCATTTCACCTGCTCAGAACCATTAGCAATACTGCTAAATCGAGCTAACAAGCAACTCTAAAGAAAAACTTAAGAGATTTCATACAGTCACACTTAGCTTACTTGCACAAGACAGTTTTAGTGAACTAGTTACTTGCAACTCCAAGCCACATGCCTGAACTGACTAACAATAACTGATGAGCAGATGAAGTTCTGGCGTAACTCACAGACATCCCCTGTCCCTGTTAAACAGCATTACTATTGAACAAGATTAAAATGCTAGTGGAACAGACAAGCTTGAACTTTTAAAGGGAGCAGTCCCAAATCCAGTTGGTCTGAACAGTGTTGGCTCTAGAGACCAGAAGAGCTGGTTAACTGACAGTATTCCTTCTTACCCACTGTTTGGATCCACATTGTTAGAGATTAAAGCAGCTCTTCAGGTCACTATATGGAAAGCAGTTACTAGTGTCAGATGGTAGAAAAAGAATCATAAGACTTTGTTACTATAATTTCTGCTCACCCTTTGAAAGGCAGTGACAAAACCCAAAGTGTCTATTTCAAACTATATATGTGCATACCTCAGGTAGTGTTTTTACATTTCAGAAAGATTCTCATGATGATTAGAGAAAATATGCATCATTACACAAGCTGATAATACCTCACATCTGCAATCAAAGTAAACTGCTGTAAGCCCATTGTAAGCTCCATTGTTCATCCAATGCAGGATACCTTTTCAGAAATGAAAAAGCAGGACTATTTTGAATGCTATAATTTTAGTAATAATTTGCATAAATTAACAACAACACTAACATTAATTTCAGCTGTTCAGGTAAGCATTAAGATAACCAAACTAAACACTGGATGAGCAATCTTAGTATGTCCTACTGCAAGATTATGTCAAAGTTATTATTCTGAACCTAGTGCAACTACCATAGTTAGAGGATTAGCAGCTTTAATTCCATTTTCTGGAGCTGAATTCTGGGTTTGTCTCCAGATAACTAGACCCAACACTTACTTGTTTATGAATTGTTCAAGAGCCTGCTTCCTTTCCTCTATAAAGGAATCATCAAATATGCCATCATCTCCTCGGAAAGGGAGCTGACGGAGAAGAGCTTTTCCTGGTAGAGGTGGTACCACAACCTGAAAGATTAAAAGTATCCTTAAGTGCAGCCTATAAGTAAGTTTATACATCTCCTGTGCCACCTCTTCCTCCTAGAGGACCCAACTCATCAATCACATCCCTAGTGAAGTAATAAAACATGACCAGAGAAGAACAGTATCTGCCATAGAGGTAAGTTGAATTCAAGTAGTTTAACTCTGAATTAACTCAAACCCATCAAACAGCCTCCAGCATTGTACAACTGAGGTTTGCTGAAAGACGGTGTTTTAGTTCTGGACATTTTCAACCACAGTATCTGCTCTGTATGATATATATGCTTTATAACGTAATGATAACATTTCAGCATCACTACTCCTTATACATCTATGAAGACTTGTATTTACCTTTCATTTTACCCACCTTGCTTTCTCTTTCTAGTTCATTCCTTAGCCATTCAAAGTCACTGTATCTTCTTCTGACTGTAGATTCTTTCAATTTGAAGATAGGTAGATTTGTCTGAAAACAAGAAGATAAGCTATTGATTAGACAAATTAGAAGTTTTGATAAGCAGAAGCAAGAAACAAGCTGTTAAGTTACAAATTAGTTCCACTTCAGCAACAACAGCAGCATTGAGAAACACTCAAGATAGAGCTTTATCTGTACTTCCGTAAGCTACATGGGTAAGCTCTGCCTCAAACTGCTTATCTGTGGGCCTCATTTATATGGCATCCTAATCACTGGTATTTTGCCACCATATCACCTAGCAGAACAGCAGATTTGCTGGTCACTTGAGGAGATGTTTTTAAGGTTGCACAAGCATCTTCTATTCTTACTGTTGCAGGAGCTGGATTCCCAATGCCAACATACATACAAAATCGGGGCGGGGGGGCAGGTTAAGAAAAAGCCTTCTTAATCCACACAGGCTCCTTTTATTGCATTCAAGGGAGTGTTTCAAGTACCAGCATAGGACATTAACCAAGCTTCCTGTACTTTTCTGCAACCTGATACAACATGGCCTCCAACATCTTTAAAAGCAAAACCAGTGAGTCCTACAGTGAAACGATTCAGGACAGATGAAGCTGAATATTTCCTAGTACAAGCTGCCAAGTTTGGATAGCTCCAAAGAAACCAACAAGGCTGAGATGCAACACAACATTCACTGATGATGAGACAGACTGTTTTGCTACAAAGTTAAACCAAGCAGAGCTTGATGAGGCAGAGCTTTCCTAAACAAGACTAGGAGTCAGCACCCAACTCTAACCCCCTTGAAAGAGACATCAAATGGGAGCCAGGCTATAATGCCACACAAGACCATGTTAAATATATGAGCATTTTGGTAGGTGTCCTTTCACTAACTTGTGTAACAGCCTATATTACTTCTTTTCATTCTTGGGGTGTAGGGTTATCCCATCGTTGTAATCCAACTTCCATGTTATTTTAAGAGTAGACATCGAGAAAGCACTCTCCTAATGACATCCCCAAAATGGAAAGCTCCAAGATCACAATCTGAAGCTTAAATGTTGCTGAGATGGCAAACTGGCTAGAGTGTTACAAAAATGTTTGCAAGAGCTATGTCCTACTAAAAGCAAGACCAAGAGTCTTTAATTGCCATACATAACCAGCACTAACAGAATAAAGCTTACTGTTGTCAGACTGCATATTCACTGTCTTATACACCTTGAAAGAAGACTCTCGAGGAGTACTGTAGGAAGCTGATGTTCACATGGGACTACAGTTATCCCCAGTCTTCCTGTTGGCAGAAGCACAGTAGTCATTCTCAGCAGTGCCTTCTGGTTTTTGCTGTTTTATTTTAAGTTGTAAGCCATCTCACTCAGCTTCTGGTCCCATTTTGAGTAGATATCCCTGTACGATATCATTTGTAGGCTGTTATGCTTAAGCTATCATTGAGTGATACTTTTGGCTGCTCAAAACAGGTTTAATTGCAGAGATACTTTCCTGCACTAGGCAGGCCTGTGACTACAGGCCAATGTATTACTACCAGCCAATAACGAGTTTTCGGCTGTCATAGTTCAAAAGTACTTGAGAAGTTAGTTGTGTACTTTCACATTATGCTATTTAGTCCATGATTTACAGATTATAAAGTACAGAACAGTATTTTGTTATGAAATCTTATTGCTAAATGTTTAAAAGTATTGAAGCTCTCCTTCCCAGGTAAAACATTGTTGATTGTACCAGTGACTAATAATAAAATAGCACTTAAGACTATTATGCCAGAAGTCAAGCTTTATAAATAAACATTCATCTTGAGGATAAGAATACTCTACTCAAGAGTGAATAAAGCTAGGTACCCCAGAGTGCATGAAGGAGATTCCCAGAAGTGAAGTACTGGATTATTTTTCTCTGATTTCAGCTATTGGCTTTTTAACCAAGTTCAGCCTTCAGTGTCTCAGGTAGAAAGTCCTTTACAATATTTAACATCTAGGCTCTCACCTGCAGAAAATATTCCATTCCTGTCTCAAGTTACTTACAAGAGGGATTAAAACTGAATAAAAGCAGCTAAAAAACAATGAGTTCCCAGGTCTTCAGGAACTCTTTTCACGCTTCTGGGCATGAAGTCTATAAAGTTAATCTCTAAACAACATATCAGGCTTACAGGTACAATGTGGGGGTAGAAGTGCCAATTGAGCTCATTTTACCTTCTACATTCCCTTTTGAATTTTTGACATGCTAGCCCAGCTAACAAGTCGGAGAAAAGGACAGTTAGACTACTTGTTTTCCCTTCAAGTTGAAAAATCTTCTCCAATTTAAGCACTGGAAACTTTCAAACTGAAGTGTATGCTAGAAAGGTGCCATTAAATTAAGTGGCTTACAACTTGACAACTACATGCTAAAGGGAAGTATGTCCCCTGTCCTTTGGTCTGGATATGAATTAGAGCTATCTGTTGAGATCAGCTTCTAAACCTCATGTTCCTTAAAACCCAGAAACTGCAGCAATTCTCCTTCCTCTAGAAATTAGCACTGATAGAGCAGTGTTCTTCAGATATGCAGCTGTTAGAAAGGGTCTATTTAAAAAAGCAATTTGAGAGTCCTGTTTTATACTGCTTAACCTATTTACATCTTAGGTCCCTATTTTTAACTCAGGATATATTCACACCTGAAGTTACTGTATGTGCCTTTCTCATTAAGGATTATTACTCTGTTTGAGCAGACCACTTTTTCCTTCAGTAGGAAAGGTTTCTGCATGTCCTGCTGCCTCCATCTACCACAGATAGATGTTTTTCAATGAGCAAGCCAGTCAGCTGCTGAAGCACGGGCTATCATTGGGCAAGAATTTGGCAGAAGGAGACAACTCTAAGATGTCAACAGAAACTTTCAATTTCTATTGAAGTGTCACTTCAAAACCATACAGCATATCAAAGTTATTCTCAGCTTCACAGTTTATGTTGAGAGTTATCCTTGTTTAGTCACTGAGGTGCCAGTAGCTATTCTGAACACTTAGTGCTTTGTTTGCCTGCTAGAATAGAGATGAGACTAAGGCACAAAACTTGAAGTCAGGCTAGTTTCATTTTTACAAACATTTCTCCCCACACTCATTCAACATTATAGTGTCAGTTTTCTGGCCTGCTGATCTGCTAAGTCTACTGTCACGAAACTCATGACCCAGTTTGGCACAGCCCCTGGAGCATAGCTCATTCCTCTGATAAATTCAGCCTAATTACTGCAGCAATTGTTTCTTCTACAGTGTAATAATTAGTCTCATTTTTATCGAAAGCATTTTCAACAACTTCCTAGTCTGAAGTCATGCCTCCTAGCAGTTTGAATGCAAGTCCTCAACTTGAAAGGATTATGAATTACCTAAGACATTAGACAACCAAAAGTCACTAGTCAGAATTGCAGATAAAGTATTTTTCCAGAAGGACCAATAAACCAGCTCTGCAGAAGTCCCACATAGCCCAAAATCCTAAGCACAGAAAGATGCTAAGACAAGACAGAATCTGTCTAGCACTGTTTCTGTATCAGACTATATGTATATACCTATTAGGCTTTCTCTGACTACAGTCAAACTAACAGTCTGTATTCTGCTGGGTGAGTTAATGGCCAAGCCAGTACACCGGAATAAACATTGTCAGAACTGGTGCCAAGTTAAATTAGATAGTTAAACAGCAGATGACAAACCCAGATCCTTAAGTCACTCCTGCATTCCTCCACTCAGATGCCAAATGAGTTTCTACAGTCATTTGGCTAGTGTTCAACAAACTGGTAATGGGAAGCAGTGGTTGCCTGCTAATAGATTTCAGGGCAAAACCTGTATTCACAGAAAGCATGTTTCTTCAGCTACATTTATGTTATTATAACATATTCAAACTACAAGTCCAACTCCAAGCTCAGGAGGTTCCCAATTCACCTCAGAAGCAAATGACAGTCCTAAGACAGTAGCATGGATAACGAGATAACAGTCTTCTAGCTGTTACTACGGTCAATCCCTGAGCTATGCCCAGTTAGAAGTCTGAAAATTGTTTATGTATACAAGTGAGGAGACTTTCACAAGCAGAATGCAAGTAGTTTGAGTACCAGTCAATACCATCCATTCAGCTTCAGATACACAACTCTCCAATGCAGCCATTCTGGTATACAAGTTACCTTAAATGCAGGAGGATACTTTTTAAAAAATACATTAGTTTATAATTCAAAGTAATTTTAAGTGCTCTGGTATCTAGACTAGATTAATTTATCCAGTGAGTGGAAAAAGTCCTGCAGATAACCAGACTGGCTCCTATGAATTTGTTTCCAGACATGAACTGAATGCAAATAGCATTTGGGTTCCTTCAAAGAAGCATGCTGACACTCCACAAGATTGACTCTGAATGTCACTGCAGCCCAGTCCACCCCTACAACTGCAGAAACTCCACAGCTGTAGTTGTCCAGGATAGTTTGAGGTAAATTTGATTCATTCCCTCATCTGCCAATGTAACACTCAGCAGCAGCACTGCATTGCCCATGTCTCCCACTCCTAACAGACCAGGAATAAAACTGCACTGTTGCCATAGTACCTACTTTGATGTTGTCTTTTCAAGTAGGTTATGGTAGCCTTGATACAACTCTATTTCCATTAAAATATAGTGAGAAAAAGCACTCAGCTCACTTTTGATAGAAGTTTGTGGCCTTGACTTTCAGAAGCTAAATTCAAGCTTCTTACTATCTCTTCATACAAGCTGTAATCTTTGTCAAGAGACTACACCCTTTGGCTACATTTACAGTCAGACAATGGGAGCTCTGGGGTATTACAGTAAGTAGCATTCAGGGTGGATAAAAAAGTATTATGGTTTTCTTAATGCAACAGCCTGCTGTCCTTTAGTACAAGAAACTGGCTCTAGCAGTCCACTGTTATTGCAGAAACCTTGCCAGTGGTTTGTTTCCTTCCCGACTTGACATAAGCAGCTACCTCCCCATTTCCTACAATTATAAAAAGCAAGAAAGGCGGCAAACATGCTCTAAACTTCAGTTGCTAGGAGTTTAGATTTTTGCTATGTAGTTTACTGAAGGAAAACCCCTTTCCCCACTGCAAAAGGTCAG